CGTCCTCCCTAACAAATTACATACAACAAATGATTATTTCAAATTGGAGTGTAAATTAGAATTTAAAAAATAAAAAAGTTAATAAATGAATGCTTCAATACATACCTCAGAATCATGCATTATAAACTCAAGCGGATTTTTGTAACCACGATCTTCCTCTCGTTGAAACATCCGAATAACACGTAGCTTAATGAACGGCCTATTAGTTCTCTTGAGATCTTTAATAGTACCAAAAGCCGGAGGCATGTTGAATAGTAGGAGAAAGATAAAAGAAAAATATTTTTGGTCGTGTTGTATGTTTTAGACGTGTAAACTAATTTGCTCACAATGGGTGTATATATAGTGATTGAGTGTGTGGCTTGTGTTAAAGAACGATGAATTATAGAATTTATATATAATAAGGAGTTTAAATTGTGTAGGATTCTTACCAAGTAACATATTAAATAAATCGTTTTATTGTATTTCCTTTTAACGATATACGATGGGCAATAAATAACAATTACATTTGTTTACTAAAATTTTATCCAATTGTTTACCATATAAATGCGCCCCCACAAAATCAGGATATAATCACGTAAATTTGTTTACCATTTAATAAATATCAATATCCTATTATCAAATTACAATATGTTATTCGTGAATATAAGAGATTTACATTGTTTAGGATTCTTATCCTATTAACAAATAACACTATTATATTATCAAATCAACTAAAGTAGGAAATTGTACCATATAAATGCGCCCCCACAAAATCAGGATATAATCACGTAAATTTGTTTACCATTTAATAAATAACAATATCTATCAAATTACAATATGTTATTCGGGAATATAAGAGATTTAAATTGTTTAGGATTCTTATCCTATTAACAAATAACAGTATTATATTATGAAATCAACTAAAGTAGGAAATTGTCTCTTTCTTGCAGGTACGGAGACTGTGGACTCTATTTGGAATGTAGGCGATCAAAATTTGTTCCGATATTATATGAATGTGATTTTTATGGGTGTGATGTGATTTTTATTATTCTACAACTTGTAAACAAACATTATAAATTGCGTGGTCGGATTTTATGGGCGGATGGCATGAGATATTGCTAAATCTTATCACGTTAACAAATTAACATAAATAACGGAACAAATAATTGAATTGACAATTGCATGGGATCCAACACAGAATTGCATGGCCGGCAAAATATCAATTTCAAACATTTTAAAAATTTGTTTAAGCGGGAAAAAATTGATAAATGAGCGGGAAAACAGAAACATTTTTTTCGGATTGTTCAAAAGTTTTTTCTTCTCTGTTTTATATAGTAATAGATATGCCTTTTTTTCTCGTGTTCCTCCCCCTTCGCTGGTCAAGTCATTTTCTCGTCCCCAAGGATTATGTGGAAAAATGGAAATACCAATATCAGCCACACAAAGTTTATATGACTCAAGGAAATAACTGAATGAAACTAATGCTTACATATTTCCTTGTATTTTTATTTTTTTGTTAATTAAGACAAAAATCAAATTTTATAGTAATTGAGTAATAATTATATTTTTTATTGTATCATATAATAATTATTATTAAAATTAATAATTAAATTTTACACTAATGATATATGAAAATTACATAAACATAAAAAATTATATTGTAAAATTTTTTTGTTCAAGTTATTTATTTAAAATTAATGTTATAATTTTTTATCCGATTAAGCGATTGTTTTTTAAATAAATTAATTTGTTTTAATGTCATAGCAAATTTCGGTAAAATCATATAATCAATTATTATAATAAATTTAATATTTTTACCCAACTAATTGGTCATGATCCCTCAAACTCACAAAAATTACATTATTCATTACATTTATGCAATCAATATAGTGATTCATATGCAATCAAATTGCTATGTACTCTTTATTTTAACCAATGATCAAATTTTGAAACATAATAACATTATCTAATTTATAATTTTAATATTATATGCATAAATATAACTTATAATACTCTATGTTTAAAATATAATATAATTATCTAACTTATAATTTCAATATTAGTTTTACCTCGTGCATTTGCACGAAAAACGATACAATAGAAGAGAAAATAATTAAAAATATAGAATAAAGTAAAAATCATAACTTAATAAATGAGAAAAAAATAATTTAAAAAGTGAACCTAAATATTATTAAACACGACTTTATATACAATATATGTGGTTTTCCTATCGGATCCTCATCACAACAAATCATTATCGTTAAACCTCTTCGATTCGTGACTATAGGATTTGATTTTTCAAAATATTTGATGTATCTTTGTAATATCCGAAAAAATACTTTTTTTATTATTATATGACTGCAACAGAAAATAAAGATATTTGTAGTCATTCTTAATTAGTTATTAAATATGTATTTATATAATACAAAAATAAAATAAAAATATTTTGTATTCAGGACATAAAAAGGCGTTGCTTCTAAAGTAGAGTCTCACGAAAACCGTTACAGAAATGGGCACCATCCAAAATAGGACATGTCAAAATAAATTGTGTAACTACTTATTATTGTTAAATGGTGAACATATTTTAATTAAATGAACACCTATTTTTATTAAATGAACTCATATCATTATTAATTGCTGGCTGAATAAAATTTATTGAAGTTTGTCAACAATTATATAGATATAGATTATATGGATACAAATAACTTATAATACTTTATTTACATCTATGCAAATCTACAGGGTCATGTACTAGTGTGTTATAAAATTAGAGGAAAAGAGAGAAAACATAGAGAATGTATTCTCTTGGTACAGTTTTTATTATAACTATTAATCAACCTGTGCATTTGCACAGAGGAGAATACTTAGAAAAGACAACAATATAAAAAGAAAAAAGAAAAATACATAATCATAATTTAATTCATAAAAAAAATATGAATTAAGAAATAATTCTAAATATTATTAAACACTTGCATTATTAAACATTTGGGTCGAAATTGTCTACTGAACAAATAATTGCATTATAAATAGTTATTTAATTGGGATGGATAACATATTAAAAAAATGTGGTGAATTCAGCTTAATTTTTTATTAAAAAACTTGTAAGGGTGACTTGGGTCGATATTCTCAGTAAACCTATTTGTTTAATGAGTCCGATTTAGTAAAGACCAAAGAAAATAATATTTCAAATTAAACCCAATACATATTGTTTTGAACACACAAAAAAAAAAAAGAATTAGGTAACCGGTTATCAAAAAAATGCGTTACAAAATCCTCGACTTAAATAATCCAAACATTCCATGGCTCATTTCTCTCTTGTTATCGGCGGATCACGCGTTTTTTCTGTGTAAAAAATATCCAAAATCTCATTTTTCAAAATTATTGGAGGAAAAGAAAAAAAAAGCAAGTATAGATATAAATGCACAATTTTATCTAGAACATTCATGCAATTAATAGACTGATTAGGTGATGTAAGAAAATTAGCAAAAAACATATTGATATTATAATATCTGTAACTGCTTTAGGCGGGAACATAAAGTAATATAATTAAATAATGAAAATTTAGGCGGGATAATATAATTAAATGCAAGATAATATAATTTAATGCTTTGTTGCTCCGAATTATATATATATATATATATATATATATAGAGAGAGAGAGAGAGAGAGAGAGAGAGAGAGAGAGAGAGATAGATAGATAGATATAGATAGATAGATATAGTAATCAACTTATGCATTTTTACAGAGAAGAATACTTAAAAAAGATAATAATATATATATATATAAAAACAAATCATAATTTAATTCATGAAAAAAAATATGAATTAAGAAAATGATTCTCAAAATTGATTTTGATCAAGTAATTGCAATGGAAGAGCCGCTACAACCATTTTCTTTATGCTAATACATCCGATCATTTTCATGAGTGAGTGACTTAAAATTTGAGTTCAATTTTGTAACTCCATTGATTGATTTATGCTCATAATTTATGGCATTCAAGCAAGTTATTTTTTAACTTAAAAATGAAATTGAATGTTGAAAATTTTGGAGGGATAATAAAATTTTAATGCATGATAATATAATTTAATGTTTTGTTGCTCCTCTCAATATATATATATATATATATAGATTGAAGTTTCTATACTATAGAAAATTTCTGATGACACAATCGTAATGATACAAAATTACATCGAGAGAGAAATAGTCATTCACACACTGTTTGATATTAATTCAATTGTATGGTTGATATTTCATAACAACTAGTTTTACCCCGTGCATTTGCAAGAAAAGCGATATAATAGAAGCGAAAATAATTAAAATATAAAATAAAATAAAAATCATACCAAAAAAAATAATTTAAAAAGCGAATCTAAATATTACTAAATACTTATTTATATACAATATTCGTTGTTTTCAAATCGTTAGAATTTCCATCACAACAAATCATTATTGTTAAGTCTTTTTGACTCGTGACTCTGAAATTTGATTTTTCAAAATATTTGATGTATCTTTGTAATATCAGAAAAAATATTTTTTCATTATTGTATGACTTCAATAAAAAATAGATCAGATATTCATAGTCATTCTTAATCAATTGTGAAATATGTATTTATATAATACCAAAAAATATATAGTATAAATATAAAAATAAAAATATTTTGTATTTCAGGACATAAAAAAATGTTACAGAAATTGGCACCATCCAAAATATGACCTGCCAAAATAAATTGTGTAACTGAAAGTTACATATTTGTATTAAATGGTAAACATATTTTTATTAAATGAACAACTATTTTTATTAAATGAACTCATATTATTATTAATTGCTAGCTGAATAAAATTTATTAAATTTTTTCAACAATTATATATATATATATAGACCAGTAGATTGATATACAGTAGATCAAAAAAAAAAGATTGATAGTAGATTATGTTCAGTTTGGTGGGGAATGGGATCCAACAAGATACGACATTGTGTCCAACAATGATCAACATTAATTCCAAAAATTTTTTTTCCCATTTTAATTAGTTGTGTCTTTTGTGATTAGAACTTCACAAGACCAACAACTTTGTTGTATCTGGACTCTTCCCCTACTCGTGCTTGGGTCCTCCTCTGCATGCACTGCCCTGATGCGGCGGTCGAGCAGAACGAGACTTTGGTGGTGATTGACCATCGCGAGATCAACATGAGATTGTTGGTCGGCGCGTGTATGAACAAGTGTACACCGTCTCGTTCCAGGCTCATACACCTTGAAGGTGAAACTACATTCATCGCCTTTCATGTACGTGTCCAAGAGGAACTCACCATTCTTCAAACAGACAGCCAATTTAGCCGTTATATTATGGGCGACGGGGTCGAGGCTGTACAATTTGGTCCAACAATCTTCCTTGAGCATCCAAATGGTACAAGGCAAAGTCGGAGAATCAATCACGCACAACGACTCCTCCACTACAGTAACATGCGGACAATAAATATCGCGAGTCGGGTCTTCTGGTGGCAACGCCATCTTTCGCAAAAATTTCATCCTTGACATCAAAGGAATAAATGCAGCTCCAAAAGCTTACCTTCATCTCATAGTCGCGTTGGACAAGCCAATGGATCTTGCCTCTCAAGAAAGCACCCGTGCAATGTATACTCCTTTCTCTTCCTCCTGCGCGCATAGCAGGGCCCACGTCCACCCTCCGCCATGTATTTGAATTCAAGGAGTAAACATGGGCCGCCAAATGTCCTCGTACATCCCTACCGCTTCTAATGGCCACAACTTTGTAGTCGTCGGTGGTGGCCTCGTATCCCAACTCAATCGACGTGTAGACGACGGCTGCTTCTTCTCCTTCATCGAGGGGTGGGAAATCTGGTAGGACCATATGCCTCCGAATGCTGGGGTTCCATAGTATGATGGGTGGGGAAATTATAGAAGCCCCAGAGGTTTCTCCCAACCCGGATATGCATATCAAGCCGTTGATGGTGCTCACAATCTTGGGAGAGGTGAAATATGGGTACTCGAAGGGGAAATTCAGCGGCCGCAATCTGTGATGCTGATCGTCATCCAGCAACCAGTAGCGCGCGTGGACTTGATAGTGGTGGCGCTTCGTCTCCGTACAGCTTTCGTCGGCTAGCACGATTTGGGAGGCGGTGCGGCGGTTATGGCGGAGGTGCAAGGAAAGGAATTCGGGGGTGAGGATGAGGGACCGCCATGATCTGCAGACCAAGCTCAGACGGAGCAAGGGCTGCACGGGCAGCTTCGACAGGATTTCAGCAACCAAATCCTCGCTTAGGTATGTTGATGCTGCCTCCATCGGTCGATTTATTTTTGCCAATTATTAATGCTTGTCAATAAACCTAAACCTGCGTCTTGTCTATTACTCATGGCCTTATATAGATATGCCAGTGTGTTTATATTCCCTATTTCGTATAGGAAAAGGAGTCTAGCACGATTCGGATTGGATATTACAAATAATAAATTAGATATAAACTAAATACAAAATCTAATCAAAATTATATACAATACAACTTTTCTTATGTGGTATTAAAATACTATTATAAATGCCACACGTTACACCAAAAATAAACCATACAAGGCATAAACCATTTATTTTAGCTTATTATATCTTTATAAACTTTTTTTTTTTAGTTTTATATTCAGTTTATTTTCAGTTTTGTATAAGTTTAAAAACCAATACAAAAATAAAGAATATGATTTCATATATTTCTTATTTTCAGTTTATTATAGTTTTATAAAGTAATATGTACTTATATTAAAAGTAGTCCTATTTACCAAATTTAGTAGCTAGAAAAGTCAACAGCATTTATTGTCATTACCATTTCTGTATTACTAGTATAGAGCCCGTGCGATGCACGGAGTGCACAATTTTAAGACTATTTATCCAGGCTTATAATTATATACATGAATAAAGAAAAATGTACGGGATATATATAGTACGTTCCAAGCACGAGATATATTTATTTGGAGAATATTATATTATAAGGTGCAATATTCAGTAAAAGTTTATAATACGCAAAAAATTGTACAATGTTCAATAAAAATTTTATAATATTCAAGTGGAGTCTTAAAGTCTCTTGTACATTAAGACTACTGACAAAATAATATTTTAATCAATGAGTTTTCTTTCCTTGTAGCCAAATTGTGAATGTGATTTGAGGAGTACAACAAATCGATATATAGCTGACTTGCTTTTTTCATTGTAGTTTTTTTTTCTTTTTTTTTATAATGAATTTAAAGATATTCTAAAATATAGCAAAAAATAATTTTTTTTATTACAATTAGGAATTTTACTAAATATAAACTCTCAATCTATGGTGTTAATCAACGTTTAAGTCTAAAAAATTAGGAATTTTTACCCCTTTTAATCAACGTTAAAGTCTAAAAAACAATAGAGTTATTATAAGTTTTTTTTTACATCTTTTAAAACATTAAATATGAGCATGTTAGGGCTAGCTTGTAAAATAATTAATATATTATCTCACTAAAACATTTATACTAATAAAACTTTAATTTTAGCATATACATTTATCCCTTAATATAAGAGAAAGTAACAGTTTTACTTATTGTTGTTCACCATATAATATTTAATTATTATTTTATTATATAATAAAAAAGAAATATTGTTAAATAGTGTAGTAGAATTGTTACAAAATTATATGAATTTTTTTTTTAACAATATGGATTTAATATTTTTTTATGTTTTGATAATATAAACAAATTTATACTTAACTTTGACAAATAACACAAATAAATACTTTAGTAAGTATATAATGTATATACTAAATAGGAATATATTTGCTATAATAAAATACCAAATATAATTAAATAAGTCAAAGTGTACATTTTTATTTGGTATTTGATTTTTTTATTATTAAAATCTTTTTATTATACTTACCTTTTTAAAATAAAATAAATAAATAAATTAATTAAATAAATAAAATATTATAATACCAAAATAGTAATGACATTTAATGCAGTTGACTTTTCTGAATAGTAAATGTAATAAATAGAATATTTTTTTATATAATATAATACGGAAATAGTAATGCAATAAATGCTGTTGACTTTTCTGGCTACTTAATTTGGTAAATAGTATTCCCTTTAATATAAGTATAGATATAATTTTATTTAATATTTATTTTTTTGTTACGATTTTTAAAAACAAATATGGTCAAATTCTCTCATCATTAATTATTTTTCATTAATTACAATTTATTTATTTATTATTTTCTTAGCAAAAACAGACCAACATTAATTGATTTCCTTAAAATGTGGAAGTTGTTGCTTTATTTTTGTATAGAAAATCGGGCTTACTTATAGAAATTTGTTCAGTTACACAATGAATTTGCTATGATATAATTATTTTTTACGGGAACATTTTTTTTAACAGAAAAATATGGCATTTCAATAAGATTTTCGATTCTTTAAGACTTATTGTTATCATGCTATGAAATTGAACATTTCAATATACCTTAACAAAATATACACGTGGTGTATACATCAGTTAATAGAAATATAGAATCCTCATATTTTTATACATATGTATGTAATTATTCTATTACCAAATTTAATTGATAGTTGTTGTGTTATGGGTTTTTCATAATTGTTAATTGGTTGTTGTGATATTTAGTTTGGTTGGTGTCGCAAAAATTCTAATCTCTATATATAATAAGAATAATCATTACTACAAGAATAATCATTTTTAGTGACGATAATTTTTGTCGCTATGTCGTCAAAAAAAATACCGTCGCTAATAATGTCCTAATATTGTCGCTATATGTTCGAATGTCGTCACAATAATACCTCTTATTGTGATGGTATACAAAATTAAATTCTAAAAAAATATATTTGTATATTTTGTACATTATTTATACACTATTTAATTTTAAATTTATTTACATATTTTAAATTGATTACTTATATAAATAATACCAATGTGCATTAAATATATTTCATTACATAAAATAAAAAGAACAAGAAGACGTGCAACTTCTATAACTTTATAAATAATAATGACATTATATGGAAACAGAGTTTAATAATTAACTATTATATAGTGAATAAGAATAAGTAAAATTGTTATTTTCTCTTATCAATGAATAAATATATATAATAAAATTAAATTTATATTAGTATAAATGTGTTAGTGAGATAATATATTAATTATTTTACAAGTTAACCCTAACATGCTCACGTTTAATGTTCTGACTAATAAAACAACGCTGATTAAAAGATGTGAAAAATAGATTACAACCCTATGTTTTTAGACTTAACGGTGATTAAAAGAGGTAGAAAATGGATGATAACTCTTTTCAGACTTAAACGGGACTTAACGGCGATTAAAATAGGTGAAAAATGGATAATAACCATTCTCAGACTTAAACGGACAAAGTCTGTGAAAATACGTACTAGTGTTGTTATACAGACGAAAGCTAGCACTCATTTACTAATACTACTCAACAATTAAAATATAAACACACGATAGAACTAGAAAAAATTGCTAATATTTTAACAAAGTAAACACATTAGGTGAAAAAAATTAGCAAGCATTCTACTTTTCATTCATATTTATAACAGAAATAACTGTAAAATAAAAAAAATGTTATTTTTAATGAGAAGCAAATATTACGTGGGTGCTTGTGTATAATTTTTTCCAATTCATCAACTCACACTCAAAGTTTAACTTAACTTTTTAAGCCTCCACTATATTCAATATTATCAATATAATTAAATAATATAAACGATCATCTTATTACAGAAATTGACACCATCCAAAATATGACCTACCAAAATAAATTGTGTAACTAGAAATTACATATTGCTAGCTGAATAAAATTTATTGAATTTTATCAGCAATTATATATATATATATATATATATAGACCAGTAGATTGATATGTTCAGTTTGGTGGGGAATGGGATCCAACAAGATACGACATTGTGTCCAACAATGATCAACATTAATTCAAAAATTACTTCATTTTCCCATTTTAGTTGTGTCTTTTGTGAGTAGAACTTCACAAGACCAACAGCTTTGCTGTATCTGGACTCTTCCCCTACTTGTGCTTGGATCATCCTCTGCACGCACTGCCCTGATGCGGCGGTCGAGCAGAACAAGACTTTCGTGGTGATTGACCATCGCGAGAGCCACATAATAATTTTGGCCGGGGCGTGTCTGAACAAGTGTACACTGTCTCGTTCCAGGCTCATACACTTTGAAGGTCCAACATTTATCGCCTTTCATGCTCGTGTCCAAGAGGAACTCACCATTCTTCAAACAGACAGCTAATTTAGCCGATATATTTTCGGCGATGCGGTCGAGGCTGTACAATTTGGTCCAACAATCTTCCTTGAGCATCCAAATGGTACAAGGCAAAGTCGGAGAATCAATCACGCACAACGACTCCTCCACTACAGTAACATGCGGAAAATAATTGTGGGTCGGGTCCTGTGGTGGCAACGCCATCTTTGCAAAAACTTCATCCTTCACATCGAAGGAATAAAGGCAGCACCAAAAGCCATATCGTACCTCCATCTCATTGTCGCGTTGGACAAGCCAATGGATCTTGCCTCTCAAGAAAGCACCCGTGCAATGTAGACTCCTGAATCCTCCTCCTGCGCGCATTGCAGGGCCCACGTCCACCCTCCGCCACGTATTTGAATTCAACGAGTAAACATGGGCCGCCAAATGTCCTCGTACATCCCTACCGCTTCTCACGGCCACAACTTTGTAGTCGTCGGTGGTGGCCTCGTATCCCAACTGGACCGATGTGTAGTAGGCTGCTCGTTCTCCTTCATCGAGGGGCGGGAAATCTGGTAGGACCACATGCCTCCGCACGCTGGGGTTCCATAGTATGATGGGTAGGGAATTTCTAGAATTCCCAGAGGTTTCTCCCGATCCGGATATGCATATCAAGCCGTTGATGGTGCTCACAATCTTGTGACAGGTGAAGCATGGGTACTCGAAGGGGCAATTCAGCGGCCGCAATCTGTGATGCTGATCGTCATCCAGCAACCAGTAGCGCGCGTGGAGTCGAAGGTCGTGGCGCTTCGTCTCCGTACAACTGTCGTCGGCTAGCACGATTTGGGAGGCGGTGCGGCGGTTATGGCGGAGGTGCAAGGAAAGGAATTTGGGGGTGAGGATGAGGGACCGCCATGATCTGCAGACCAAGCTCAGACGAAGCAAGGGTTGCACGGGCAGCTTCGACAGGATTTCAGCAACCAAATCCTCGCTTAGGTATGTTGATGCTGCCTCCATCGATCGATTTATGTTTGCCGATTAATGCTTTGCGTGTTGTCTATTCAACTCATGACCCGCCTTATATACATACATACATACATATGTATGTCCGTGTCCGTGTTTGTTTGTATTCCTGTTCCGTATACGCATAGGACTCTAGTACGACTTGGATTGGATATGAGTAAACAGCTTTAAGNCGTAAATTATATTTGCATCATTATTTACTAGTGCACGGCGGTGAATAAACAATATTACAATTATATTATAAATTAAATATATAAATATTATTAATTATAATTTACCCATTGTTTTAAATTAAACCGAGTTGGACACAGTCCGACCGGATGGACCGAGAACTGATTTATAACCAGTCTAGTTCACTTGAATAAAATATTTGCTATCGAATCCGCCAATACCAGTCGGTTAGACTGGTAGGGTCCAGTCTAGTTCACTTGAATAAAATATTTGCTATCGAATCCGCCAATACCAGTCGGTTAGACTGGTAGGGTCGATACGATTTTCTAAATAAATTTTGTTACATTTAAATTATTTTAAATAAAATTATATATTACATAAAATAGATATTCATAAATTGTTTATCAATTAGTTTAAACATTTGAATTTATAAATTGTTTAGATATTTAAGTAACACATTTTTATTTAAATTTATTACAAAAGTACTATATATATATATAGGGTTGGATTCACATGAGAATGGTTCGCAATAAAAGAAATAAGAATAAATCGTAGCCATTAGATCGGATGATCTACTGACTAAAAAAAAGTCAAAGTTATACCTTCATTAAGGTTAATTTCGCAACTTAACAATATCTACCAGTGGACCCCACAAAACAACACAACACGTGTGTGATATACCTTCTCTCATCTCTCTTTCTCTCTCTCACACAATACACACACACTCTGAAACACATCTTCCATAACCGGTCGCCAGATCCGCCCTAAACTTCCCCCGGCTCCGCCCTTCACGCTGCCCTCTTCGCCGTGATATTCGCCCTCCCCTTGCTAGACCATGGTCGCCAACCTGGATGTCAAGGTTACAGTTGCCGGAAATCGCCGGAAGCACTGTCCCGCACATCCACTGCTCACAACCACCGACGCCGTCACCGCACTCCACTCTGGCGCTACCTCGGACACTGTACCCCTTCACCGCCGCTGCCGTTGTTGCACCAGAAGATCGCCATAGTTTCACTAGCCACCAGAGGATAAACAGAACAGTATCTACTTTATTACTACCCTCCAAAACCATCTTACTACCCCTCTTATTACCCTCTTGCTCTACATTACCAGACCCATCTTTATCAACTACCATGTTTTCTCGAATAACATCAAGAGACCCTCTGTTTTTTCTAATAGCTATTTTCCTCCTCCTCTGTACAGGTTTACTTCCAGTAGAAACATGTTGAATATTAACTTCAATCAATTGAGATGGATTTTGAACATGAACATCCACGACCAGATTATCATCGAAATTCAAATTGACTGATTGATCAACCCCCTCTCCCTGGACTCTACTACCCTGACCTCTATCCTCTACAGTTCCTTTGTCTAAAGGCCCCTTCCCTTCACCTACCACCTTATGACCACTTCTGAACCTCTCATCCTCTCTCTCTCCTCTTCTACTGGGTTAGAAGATTTTTGGGATTTTTTATCACTGGGTTGGCTACCCCCTCCACTCTGACTAGAACTCCTGAAATCAACTAAACTTGAGGAACTAGTTCTAAGCCACTCTCCATACCTTCCGATCTTAAGCATATTACCTCTTACATCCTCTTTCTTTGTTTGGAAATTCCTGTCTCCATGCCCAATCAATCCACAGTAAAAACAAAACGTCTGAAGATTTTCGTATTTGAAATCAACCCATCTCCTCTCAGACCCCAAATGGATGAACGTACCTCTCAGAATTGGCTCCTTCAAGTTCATCTCCACTAACACCTTGATCATCTGGCCATTATTGTTGCCACTCCCTGGGATATGGACATCAATTACTTCACCAATGAGCCGACCGATTTTAATGCCCGGTTCTTCTGCTATCCAATGTAACAGTAAGTTGTGGATTTGAACCCAGATCTTAATTTTTTCCTCTTCATCACTGAAGTCTGCATTACCAGGGCTCCAACTCTTGAGAATGATATACAGCCCATCAAAGTTCCAAGTTTTGCCTCGCAAAATCTTCAGTTTATCCTCCTCATTTTGAAATATGAATTGGAATTTGTTAGCTCCCAGACTTTGTATTGTAAAGGATTGTCTCGTACTCCAGATGCTGGACAACGTTGTTTTTAAGCCATTATAATTGGCCCTTTTTTCCCCATAAATCTTTCCCAACAAACTGTTCTGACAGTCTAAAACACCTACAGCTACATCTTCTTCGGACAATTTAATTCCACTTTCTTCTTTCTCTGAGAGAAGAAATTTTTGAAGCTTATCTGAAATTTCCTGATCCATATCACTCCCGAAATCTCCACTGCCTTACGGTAGTTGAACCAATAATAACCCCTCTGAGAATGATGACACCTGCAATCCTGAGAATAAGACGAAACAAATACAAAAAGTAAAAAAGAAGACGAACTGAGAACAAAAGAATAACACCACACAAGATAGTGGATTTTAATAGATGAAACAAAGAAAATAACACGGAATGATGATGAAGACTACGATTGAACATCAAAAGAAACAAATCCTAAAGAGGAACTGATACTCCAAAATGGAGAGAAACCCTAATAAGAAAGGGACTTCTGGTGCAACAACGGCAGATGAGCGGTGATTTTACAGTAGTGGGAATTTGGGTTGGGGGCTACATTCAAAAATTTAGACAATTTCGCTGGATCTATTTGCAATTTTGAAAGTTTGATTAAATTGCAATTTAGGTCATAGGGCTAATATGTAATTTTCAAAAACTTAATAAATGAATATTATCTAATTTTCATATCTTACTCCATACATAAATAAACATTACTACTAAACATAATGCACAATAGTGCCAATGATGATGCACATTAAATAATTCTTGTGTTGGAGAATACACAATAGTATTTTCAACCACACAAATTAAAAATTACACTACATGAAAAAAATCAAAATTGCATTGTTATATTTGCTTATTTATTGTAGATAATAAATTATTTCGATTAGTTATTTTACACGTTATATTTATATAAGAAAATATTAAAACATGAATATATTTTTATAAAAATTAGCTGCAATTCGATTGCACATTGGTGTTAGACAGCTTGCACATTAGTGACTAACAGATTGCACTATAACAGTCGAAACAACTAGACAAAGTTTTGGGTTCGAATTTTATATTTTGGGTCAATTATTATTACTTTTTACTTGAAAAATGTTGACAATTTGAGTGCACATTGGTGTAAGACAGCTTGCACATTAGTGACTAACAGATTGCACTATAGTGGTCGAAACAGCCAAGAGAAAGTTTTAGGTTCGAATTTTATATTTTGGGTCAGTTATTTTTTTTTTAAAATTTTAAAATGTTGGTTATCTCAGTTCGATGACAACTTTATTGTTTTAAATAACGTTACGATCGAACTGTATAAAAAATATTATATTGTTATATAAGTGAATATATTTTTATGTATATACAACATAAAATTATAAAAATATTAAAATACTAAATATATTTTTATGATAAAATTATAAATTATTTAGGTTATTTTTGTTAATTTAATTAACGGATCAAATAAACTGATTAATTCCGCTTTAATTTGGTTTGAGACAAAATCGATAAAAAAAATATTGCAGTTCGAATGCACGTTAGTGATAGATGAATTGCACATTAGTGACTGTCAGATTGCACTGTAGTCATGAAACAATCGGCCAAACTAAATTCGTTGAGAATGCATGCGCTACGAGTGCACGATAGTGTTAGACGAATTGCACATTAATGACTATCATATTGCACATGTAGCGTTCGAAACTAAAAAAATTAAAATGTCGATTTGAAATTTTATATTTCAGTTGGATTATCTAATATCGTTTTTTTCGGGTTGATGTTGCTTTTCTTAGTGGATTTTTTTATAACAGAACTAACTGAACTATATAAAAATATTATTTTAATATGCATATTTTGAAAATTATATTTTTTCGGTCAAAAACGAAATGTACAATATTAAATATAACAATAGAAAACTGAATACTATATTTATAATATAAATTATATTTTATTTAAATTATTTTTGGTCAGTTCGGCTAACCGACCCAAAAAAAAAAGGTTTGTCCAACCCAATTTTAATTTGATATGGGACAAAAGTACGGTAAGTACAAATTACACAATAACGACGGATACCATGTACAATATTGTTAGGCGAATTGCACGACTGTTTGATTGCACAACAACTGAAATAGACCAAAATTATTTTTTTTTGTTTTTTTGAATTTTCATATTTCGGTTCGATTATCTATTTTTCACTTTTTAAATTTTGGTTGTTTCGATACGATGTTGGCTTTATTTTCTAAAATAACAAAAATACCGAACCAACTAAATTATGTTAAAGAATATTATAATTATTATTATTATTTTTAATATTTTGGTTCGGGTTTGTTTTGATTTGTGACAGAAGTTCGATGGATTTGGTTAATTTATTAATATTGTATTATTGTGCAATCTTATTATTAATATTGTGTACCTTTAAATTGTTAATAATTACCAATTTAACACATGAATTCAATTGAAATATAATCAATTTTCTTTATTTGCAAATGAACCCGTAGAACATATCTAATTTCCAAAATCATGCCCCCCAATCTCATCCTCTCACATACAACACGAGCAGTCCACCTCTGCCTATGTAGGTGACCGTCCGAAACATGCTGAAGACCTTCAGTCGATCCCGGCGATGGCGGACTGATCGAGCACAAACTTCAAAGTGGGTGTTGAAATCTGAATTAAGGTTTTACAATTGGGGCTCGACTAGTTTTTACTGGATTTCGATTAAATTCGCAGAGCGGACAAGTGGCGAAGGAGAGCAAAATGGATGTGACGGCGACTGTGATGGCGTGGCTTGGCGACGACAGCCGGAAGCGGAAGAAGTCGTCGGAAATCTGGTTCGTCGCTGGCGCTGAGCTCCGCGGCGGAGATCGTAAGCCAAGGGGATGAAGACGTCGACAGTGTACCAAAGCCGTTCTGCTGCGTGTAGTGTGTGTTCCGCCGCCATGGTCGCCGCGAGATTTGTGAGACGGTGCGATAGAACAAAAGTGATATGCGGGCGAGCGAGACAGATAGAGAGAGGAGAGAGAGAAAGAGGAGAGAGATGTGTGGGTCCCACTATCATTTCTTGTAAATGTGTATTGGCCAAATTGTCCTTAATTATTTGTCAAATGTGTACATTTAACCACGAAATATATATTTATTTACGAAATTGCCACAACATGTTTGACTGGAATATTTAAATTTTGACTTGATCATAACCATTGATATCTTGAATCAAATGGTACATATTTTCATTCTCATTTCTCTCACTATTTACTATTCTCATGTAATCCCAACTCTATATATATATATATCAAACAACATGAAAATAAGTTTCCATAAGTTTGAGATAAAAAAAAAATCACAAATGTTTTAAAAGTCCCAATACACCAAATTACATACAGATTTTGTGAACACAAATGATCACATGAATACTTCTAGCACCTTTTTTTTTTATTTTCAAATTACAACGCACAATTTACTAATTTGTTACTGAAGAAATAATGATAAAAATGATCACAATTTACAGCGGCGGTTATGGCGGAGGTGCAAGGAAAGGAATTTGGGGGTGAGGATGAGGGACCGCCATGATCTGCAGACCAAGCTCAGATTGGGTTGCACGGGCAGCTTCGACAGGATTTCAACAACCAAATCCTCGCTTAGGTATGATGCTGCCTCCATCGATCGATTTATTTTTGCCGATTATCAATACTTGTCAATAAACCTATACCTGCGTCTTGTCTATTACTCATGGCCTTATATACATACATACATATGCCAGTGTGTTTATATTCCCTATTTCGTATAGGAAAAGGAGTCTAGTACGATTCAGATTGGATATTACAATAATGAATTAGATATAAACTAAATACAAAATCTAATCAAAATTATATACAATACAATTTTTCTTATGTGGTATTAAAATACTATTATAAATGCCACACGTTACACCAAAAATAAACCATACAAACCATAAACCATTTATTTTAGCTTATTATATCTTTATAAAGCTTTTTTTTTTTTTAAGTTTTATATTCAGTTTATTTTTAGTTTTGTATAAGTTTAAAAACCAATACAAAAATAAAGAATATGATTTCATATATTTCTTATTTTCAGTTTATTAAAGTTTTATAAAGCAATGTTGTTATACAGACGAAAGCCAGCACTCATTTACTAAGGCTAATGTTTGGTAAAACTAGCTGGTAGCTGATAAGTTAACTTATAGCTTATTTAGTAATTTTTTAGTTTATAACTTATAGCTTGTTGACAAACGGATTTGTATCAACGAAAATGAACACCCTATTTCGTGAATAATCGGTGTTCGATCGATTGTGTATATTGAAGATGGAAAAATCAAGAATGTTTTGTATTAATTTTGTACAGAGGAGATGAATATTTGCCTCCCCCCCTAATTTCTTTCCTACCCCATATTTATATATACTGTATACATGTCTTTCTTTTTACAAGTGGGACAACTGGGGCCATTAGGAAATAGATAAAAAAGAGTACACTAATATTTAATGTGATATGACACCGTGGGGCCCGATCGTGACACTTGATGGCTTCGATTGACGTCTACTTTATCGGCAATTATTGTGTCTATCGGACTCAGATCTTCTTGATATCCGGGTCGGGCTGATGATATTAATTCTGATCGGCTCGAACGTGGATGATCTGGGCACTTCGGAACTCGGTCGATATTAAATAATCAGCTCAGAGAACCTGCTATATTTATGTTTATTTAATACATATATCCACGTGTAATATTTTAACAGGCGAGACCAAAATTTGATGTCAACATAGAGGCCCCTGACTTTAGGACATGTTCTGAATAGAACTGTTCTGAAGTCATACGTAAAATGAATTTTGGCTGCGATAAACGACACATTGATGTTGGCCGGATATTTTTGGAACCGTGGACGTTTTGTTGATCGTTTTCAGGCTTTGGCCTGTCGTTTGGCATGTCATTCGCGCTTTATGCTCTTTGATGAGCTAAGTCGGTGAAATGGACAATTTTTTGGAATTAATATGAAATGGGGGCCTGAGAGGCTTAGTCGGGTAATTTGGTACCCGATATGTGATATAATGCTCGTTGAAAGAGTCAAATGTCGGATAAAAGCCGTAACGGTTCTGTTGATCGATACGTAGGGCGCTCGGGCCTTTGCGAGTGTTTTTCATGATTTATGCGATGACTTTGCAACGACTCTTTTTCTACGCATTTTTTATGGTTGGCTCTATTTGGCCTTTTTAGTTTTAGGGCATTTCGTCCGACCAAAACCACTATTGAGGTTTGGTTAATTTTAATTTAATTTTAAGTCAGTTTTTTCAGTCCGACTGAAGGCATTTGAGGCCATTTTTCAGAACGTCAGTTTTTAAATCCGACTTAAGGCACTTTGGGCCTCTTTATAGAACGTCCGTTAAAAACCGACTTAAGGCACTTTGGGCCTTTTTTACAGATCGTCAGCTTAGAAACTGACTTGGGGCACTTTGGGCCCCTATTTTCAGAACGCCAATTTAAAAAACCGACTTGGGGCACTTTGGACCCCTTTTTTACATAACGCCAGTTTAAAAAATCGACTTGGGACACTATGGGTCCTTTTTTTGCAGAACTCCAGTTTAAAAACCGACTTGGGGTAGTTTTGGCCCCTTTTTTCAGAACGCCAGTTTAAAAAACCGACTTGGGGCACTTTGGGCCCCTTTTTACAGAACGCCAGTTTAAAAACCGACTTGGGACACTTTGGGTCCTTTTTTTGCAGAACGCCAGTTTAAAAACCGACTTGGGGTAGTTTGGGCCCCTTTTTTCAGAATGCCAGTTTAAAAACCGACTTGGGGTAATTTGGGCCCCTTTTTTCAGAACGCCAGCTCAGCCGAAGTCGAAGCTCTACGACGAGGAAATATAGACGTCGCTCAACTCGGGTGAGCCTCGCTAATCGATCTAAGTCGGTTGCCAGTTCAAGACCGACATACACTTCCACCTTCTTTTCCTTTTGTTTTGCGTTGTTGGGCTAATTTAGAATGAGGCCCAATAGCTTCAACCGATAAATTAAATATGTTGTGGAATTCAATGGAAATATTTCTCCAGCTCCTCATTTACTTATACAGAATCGCGGCTAACCCTCCTCATCCTTTTAAAATTGAAATTAAAAGGTGAAGGGGTTTACCTTAATCTGAGCTTGATACTCGATTTTGGGCGATTCAAAGTTGTCAGCGAAAGGAGCAGGCCATATCGGTGAGTTAGGAAGTCGGTGATGTTGACCGACATTGAAGTCGGGGTTTGTCGGCCCCTTTTTCGAAAGTCGGTCCGGCCGATTTGTTGAGCTCAGTGGTTTCCGAAGAAGATAAGGTCGGGCAAAGGCGCAGAGGTCAGCCGTGATTTCTGGATCCGAGCTTGTGTCGGCGGTTGATGGAGGTCGGTTGGTTCCGACAATTGAGGTCGACAACAGCTGTTGCCTTTGTGAAATCCGAGTTTAGTTCGGAAAAGTCGGCCCGATTTATGGTGTGAGGACCCAAGCCCAACGAAGAAGAAGTTGTTGTCGTTATCGGCAACAGTGGGATCGAGCCCCGTTGACTGAGGTTGATAATGCCGAAGTCGGCCCCTGATCTGAGGTCGGTTAGGTACAAAGAGGCCGGTCTCGGCCGGTTTGTGCAGTTTGGTCGGCTTTCTTGGAGGTCGGCAGGATTGCGGAGAATTCAACCTCGGCGACCGAAATCGGGTTTTGAGGTGTTTCGGGGCATTTCGAGGTCGGGTCTTGACGAACCTGAGTTGCAATTTTTGCCGTCCGACAATGGCGAGGTCGGATTTTCCGAGGTTGGCCCCGTCGGTTAGTGGTGATGTCGGCCGACGATGATGGTGTCGGGACCGACAGCTCGGTTTGGAGGTTGACGGGGGTCAGTCCTGATGCCGAGATCTGAACTTGGGCCCTGCCGCTGAAATTGGATAGACCGAAGTCGGTCAGGAGAAGTCGATGTTGGCCCTGGCATGTTGAAGTCGGGCTCCATGTTAACGTCGGATAGACCGACTTTGATGTCGGGCTCAGTGTGGAGCCTGCTGTAGTTGTCAGTCGCCGTCTGTTCGGAGATCCGAGCTCGAGTCCCGTCACAAGTTACAGAGGTCGGACAGAGAGACTGAGCTCGGTCGGACCCGACGAGGTCGGGATAAGGGTACATCGAGGTCGGACGTCGGTCCATGTTGAAGTTGGTTCTGGCATTTTGTGTTGACGTCGGTGATGACGACGTCAACCGATTTTGAAGTCGGAAATGAATATGTCGGCCGTAACCAAGTCGGGCCCCCGGCGAGCGTGTTCGTGACTTTGAATGCGGTAGAGGTTGGCGATGATGAAGTCGGATTTCGGTCATGGGCTGTTGCGAGGTCGGCTTTCGACGTAGTATAGTCGGGCTTCAGCAACCCTCGTCTGTGTTTCGAGGTCTTCCCTTCTTTTTCCTCTCTTCTTTTTTTGTTTTTACAAATAAATGATAAAAAGAGGATGAAGTGGTTCAAGTGTGACCAAAAGAAAGTGATATGTTTGTGGTTTTATCTTTCGGCTGTTCGTATACAAATTTGAAGAGATACAGAACAACATGGCTTGGAGGGATAAGGACGAAACGAAAGGCGGTGGAATAATTATAGACAAATGGTGAATATGATGAACACAGACAACTTGTGTGTTTGTTTTTTCTTTTTCAATGAAGGAAGACCAAGAAGAAACGGTGGTATAAGATCTATATTCAGATCTGGAATATAGGCTTATCGTCATCATTTTTATTGTCATAAGAGGAAAAAGGCAAAAAAGGCGGTGATAGGTAACAAGAACAGATTTTTGACAAACTGAACAACTCACAGATAAACATATAAAATACATGAATAAATTTTGGACAAACTGAACCTCAGAAACAGAAAAATTAAAGTACCAGCTTGTCATACTTGAGGAAGATGATTTCTTGGTAGAGATATAGCAGTTCATCGGCAAAGATTAACTCCGAATAAATTACGGAACCCTTCCTCTAGCGCCAAAATGTTGATAAACGGATTTGTATCAACAAAAATGAACACCCCTATTTCGTGAATAATCAGTGTTCGATCGATTGTGTATATTGAAGATAGAAAAATCAAGAATGTTTTGTATTAATTTTGTAGAGAGGAGATGAATGAATAGTGCCTCCCCCCTATTTCTTTCCTACCCCATATTTATATATACTGTATACATGTCTTTCTTTTTACAAGTGGGACAAGTGGGGCCACTAAGAAATAGATAAAAGGAATACACTAGTATTTAATGTGATATGACGCCGTGGGGCCCGATCGTGACACTTGACGGCTTCGATTGACGTCTACTTTATCGGCAATTATTGTGTCTGTCGGACTCGGATCTTCTCGATATCCGGGTCGGGCTGATGATATTAATTCTGATCGGCTCGAACGTGGATGATCTGGGCACTTCGGAACTCGGTCGATATTAAATAATCAGCTCAGAGAACCTGCTATATTTATGTTTATTTAATACATATATCCACGTGTAATATTTTAAGAGGCGAGACCAAAATTTGATGTCAACATAGCTTATGACTTATAGCTGAAAAGTTAGCTTATATGATAAAAGTGTTTGGTAAAATTAGCTAATAAGCTAGCTGGAATAAAAAAAATCCAACTAACTTATTTGAAAAGCTATCTAAAGAAGCTTTTCAAATAAGCTCGAGCTTTTTAAAAAAGCTCGTCCTACCAAACGAGGCTTATTTGAATACAGGGAGCTTATAAGCTAACCAAATAAGTTATAAGCTAGCTTATTTGTCTACCAAACACAGTCTAATACTATTCAACAATTAAAGTATAAACACACGATAGAACTAGAGAAAATTGCTAATATTTTAACAAAGTAAACACACATTAGGTGAAAAAAATAGCAAGAATTCTACTTTTCATTCATATTTATAACAGAAATAACTTTCAAATAAAAAAAAAATGTTATTTTTAATGAGAAACAAATATTACGAGGGTATTTGTTTATAAATTTTTCCAATTCATACTCAACTCACATTCAAAGTTTAGCGTAACTTTAAGTCAAACTCACTATCCTCAATATCATCAATATAATTAAATAATATTAAACAATAATCTTATACATCACATCAATTTTAAATTACTATTTATTACTTACAAAATTTTAACTAACCATCACTTCACATTATATCTCTCCTATTTTTACATTAAATTAATTTTAATTATTTTATTTTAAATATTATTTAACATAAACTTAAATCTTACTAACAATTAATCATACTAAAATTTTTAAAGTTAACTTTAATTAACAAAAAAAACATATTTTGAGCGAATATATTTGTATTTATGCCCGTGCGAGTCCAAGAAGAACCAGCGAATAATAATAATAATAATAATAATAATAATAAATAAATAAATAAATGCATGGATAATGCAACTTATACCATCGAGAATGAGTACCCATCGCACTTGCGCCTTTAAATACCGTGAAAGAGAGGCCAGGCCAGGACCCATGAGCACATTCGAACTCTCTGGACAAGCAAACCACAAGACACAAAAAATAACTTTTGACAAATACTCTCTTTCTATTTGTGAAAAAAAATGGCGTGTCCGAAATCGGACTCCCTCGTCCGCAAAGTGTGTGACCTGTACGAGAAAATCTCGAAGCTGGACTCCCTGAGCCCCTCCAAGGACGTGGACGCCCTCTTCACGGAGCTCGTGGCCGTCTGCACCCCACCCCACCCCATCGACGTCTCCACCCTCTGCCCCGACCTCCAGCGCATCCGTGCCCACCTCATCCTCCTCTGCGGCCGCGCCGAGGGACTCATGGAGAAGCACTACTCCAAAATCCTCGGAACTTTCCAGAACCCCCTCGACCACCTCCACCTCTTCCCCTACTACTCCAACTACCTCAAGCTCGCCCGAGCCGAGCACGCCCTCCTCGCCCCCCACCGCCCCAACCCGGCCCGCGTGGCATTCGTCGGGTCGGGCCCACTCCCCCTCACCTCCATCGTCCTCGCGGCCCACCACCTCCCCCACGCCGTCTTCCACAACTACGACGTGGACCCGGCCGCCAACGAGCTGGCAGCGGGCCTCGTGGGGCCCGGCGGCCACCCGCTCATGGAGTTCCGCACGGCGGACATCGTGAGCGTGCCTGAAGACGTGCTGAGGGAGTACGACGTCGTCTTCTTGGCGGCGCTGGTGGGAATGGACGGGGAGGAGAAGAGGCGGGTGGTGGCCCACCTGGCGGCCGGGATGGGGCCTGGGGCGATTCTCGTGGTGAGGAGCGCGCGTGGGGCCCGCGCGTTTTTGTACCCGGTGGTGGAGCCGGGAGATTTGGGGGGGTTCGAGGTGCTGTCGGTGTACCACCCGACGGATGATGTCATCAACTCGGTTATTGTGGCGCGGAAGTGTTCGGGGCTTGTGCACTCGGTGGCTGGCGGCCGCGGGCCGCTACTCATTCCTTGCAATAAGTGTGGTGAGATATTTAACCCGCTCGTGGGCCGTGCGAAGATGGTCGAGGAGTTCCCCTGCCAAGACCATGTTTGCTGAAAGAACTAATACTCATTTATCTGGGCATTGCATTGCATCTTCTTTTTGTTTCTTGTATGCACTTAATTAATACAGAATTGAGTCGCGAAATAATTGCCTCTGTTGTATGTTTTGCTAATGATAATATGATATATTGTCTGCTACTAATACTTGTCTCACTATAACAACAACTAATTCATCTAATGAATCCTTGTCGATTTTCTCAATGGAAAACAACCGTTCACCATACATGAAACCGACCCTCTTGCCATTTTTGACAAGATTGCTCAAAACAAGGACCCATTTTGGTGTGGCAGTTATTAGCCACAAATGTTCAATAATTTTGTGATATCATTTTGGCCGTCTTCTGCTGCTTCTTTAATCTTTTGTCGTTTGTTATGTTGATGGCGAAATAAAGATATGACACCATGTTTCGGAAGAAGCCAAAAGGGGAGCATCGAAATTCATTCAGGTCAAGCTAATGACGTATCTTTCATGTTCGTCTACTTTTCGCCACTCCATTGGTTACCATTTTTATCACCACATTGATAACATCATCAATTAAAATAGACAACTATGTCTGGACTAATCTGAATTGTTGTTTTCAAACATATGAACTAAACTCAAAATAGTTATATTACGGAGTCAACTCAGTGCCTGCTTCGTTTAGGGCTATAAACGAATCCAACTTAGTTGGCTCAAGTCATTTTTTCCTACCCATAAATTCTCTATATAAAAAATCTATCTAACATTATCAATTGGTGGGGATCTATCTAAAACACGCACCTCAGATTTTCGCGTAGCCCAATGACAAAAACAGAGATATTGAGACCCATGCTCACACTTATTAATTATTAATTGAACCATTATATGGAATGGTGCACAACTATTGGACCCCTTTGTTGGTAGTCAAAAGATTATCATAATTGAGACATGTCTTTTCCTAATTTCGTCCTGTTTTAAAAATATTTGCACCAGAAGTATTTTGCCTTTTGTGCAATTTGAATGGCCGCGCAACTCTATAATATCATCTTAATAATACTAATAACAATAATTTGGGTATCATGTCTCCCAATTTCAATGGCTGATAGACATGTAATTTTCTTTTTCAGCCATTTGTTTATCTGCGCGCCTGTTGACTTATTTTTCAGCCGTTCAAATTTTAGCGTATCTTCAACATATATGCATTATTCTTTATTCGTTTCTCTTTCGGAGAAATGATCAACTAGCCTTTTAATCTCACAACAATTATCAAGTAGTTCAAGAACGAATACCACAATTAACAATTCGCCAGAGAAGTGTAATGATCCGGGCTGGAAATTGTAAAATTCTTTTTTGATTAAGGTTGTGATCAGATTGTAAATTCTATGTGATGTTGATATGTGAAATTGTGTAGCTATGCATTGAGTGAACGTTGATGTTTGATGAATTCTGAAAAGATTATGAGGAACAGATATGGAGATAGGAGTATGGAATGAGAGAGAATAGTGGAAAGATTATGAGGAACAGATATGGAGATAGGAGTATGGAATATTGGAATGAGAGAGGATAGGGCCGAAGATAATAGGAGAGAAAATTATGCATAGCAAATTCTGACATTCTTAAAGGCACAGTACGCACTACTTAACGGTTACATGACTTATAGGTCATGGATTCGAGTCACGACTTATAGGTCATGGATTCGAGTAGGGGTGCACAAATTTTGGTTAACCGACCGAAATCGAACATTCGGTTTCGACCAAAACCGAAATCGAAAATTTGATTCGGTTTTCGGTTCGGTTTGAATATAATCTTTTGGTTAACCGAACCGAACCGAAAACCGATCCTGTACATATAAGTTAAAAAGGTCCAATATCTATATATATATAATTTAGAGCAACACATCATTTAATTTTATTATCCTGCATTTAATTATATTATCCCGCCAAAAAATTTCAGCATTTAATTTTATTAATTTTCAATTCCCGCCTAAAGCAGTTACCATTTCTCTTATTGAATTTTATTATCCTGCATTTAATTATATTATCCCCCTATTTATTATGGGTTTTGGTGTAATTACCATTTCTCATATTTACACAGAAAGTTTAAGAATGCATATATTACCTTTTTTTCTTATTTGTTATTTATATTAGTTAAATAATTTAGCTTTTTTTACCTGCTTAGCTGAANTTTTTATTTACTTTTTTGGTTGCTTTATTTTTTCTTATTTTTTACTTTTTTGAGTGCTTTAATATCCGTTCGACGCACATCCTTAAAATTAAAGTAAAATATTTAATAATCAATTTAAGTGAATATCAAAACTTTTTTTTAACAAATTTGTGAATAGAAATGACGTGTACTTAGAAATTTTTATTTTTATTTTTTAATTTAAAAACCAGACATATGGTTCATATTTATGTGTAGATCGACTGTTGCAACCGAACAACATGTATATTTTTCAGAAAACCATAAGAACATCTTTAAATATACCAAGATCCGTTCATTTTTTATGTTTTGACCAAAAACATCAAATTGTGTAGATATTTCAAAATTTTTGAAAGAAAACGGAAAAACAAACACTAAAATAAGATTTTATATGTAATCTACTTCTGAAATCAACTGAAAACACAATTTTTTTCTTTAAAAAAAATATATTCTCAACAAACATTACAGATCTTGATATATCCATACTATAATCGCCGTATTGAACTATTTTCTTATGATTCATTGAAGTAAGTTAGCAAAATAGGGATGACAAGTTAAAATCAAAACAAAAAATATCAAATCGATTTATGAAATTAACTGANAAAGTCATAAATTCTTAACAAAGATTACATATCTTGATATATCCGTACTATAATCGCCCGATTGAACTATTTTATTATGATTCATTGAAGCATTTTTAACCAAATAGGGTCAACAACTTTAAATCAAAACAAAAAAATCCAGATCTTGATAGAACTGTTATGTAATCGGTCGATGTGCACATTTTTTACTATGATATAGTAAAACGAGATTGTAAAATCGAAATGATTTTGATGTTATATCTCTGTTTTGTTTGAAATCTTCTATTTTTCGAAAATTATAGAATTTGATCAAAATATCTCATGAAAAAACAAAGAAAAGGGCATGATTATCGACAAAAAATGATAAGAAAAATGAGATCTTGGATATTTAGAGAAATGAGCTTGCATGGGGTGTTTGATTATTTAAGTCGAAAGTTTTGTAACCCTTTTTTTAGTAACCAGTCTTACCGGTTAACTGATTCTTTTTTTTTAAAAAAAAGAAAACAATTGTGTATTAGGTTCAATTTGAATATATTTTTTTTTTTTTTGGCTTTACCAAATCGGGCCCATTAAACAAATAGCCTTACTCAGAATATCTAATTTTTTATTTTAAATCCAATTCACCACATTTTTTTTTAATATGTTATACAACCCAATTCAGCAATTGTTTATAATGCAATTATTTGTTCAGTAGATAATTTCGACCAAATGTTTACATTTGTTGACAATTATAATAAATTCGGCACATATTTTATTATTCCTTATTTGTTTGAGGGTACTGTTCAAGTTTCAGCGCAGACAATTTTCAATCATGGTCTCTTATGTTATGACGATCAACAAGAGTCAAGACCAGTCTCTCTCACACGTCCGCTTAGTCTTGAAGAACCCTATTAGTCATGGACAATTGTACATTGCTCTTTTTAAAGTCACTGATATAGCTATGTTATGATATACCGGTCTAGATACTTATTACTCGACCCAGAGGGCGGTTTGAACCGTCGGCATGTCAATCGGATAACATCAAAGTCAACATCCCCAAGTCGACTTCTTGATAGTCGACCTCCTCTTGAACTAACCCAAAAGAGAGCCGATTCCACCAAAGACGACGATCTTAAAGTCGACTTCGTGTATCAACTCCCTTAAAGTCGACCCCTAGTAAGAAGACAAACCAGCGTAGCCTCCGAACACGCATACGAATCTTAAGTCAACCTCACGGTGCTCGAGGTCGACTCCCTACATCTCGAGACGTAGAAGGTGCTGACGACTCAACACACTTGCAGCATATCTAGAGCCCCGTATCTTCTAATGGATAAGGGGGAATCTTGTGATGACTCGGCAGTGAGGGGAGACAAATCGACCGGGCAATTTAGACCTTTCAGGTAAATCGACCGGGGCATTTTGGGTACTTCAAGTAAGTGTTTCCTCCTATATAAAGGAGGTGAGGTAACAACCCTAAATCCTAACTTCCATTCACTCTATACTCTCCTGCTGCTGCTGCTGCTCTCTGAGAGCAGCCTTCTTCTTCATCTCTTTCACATACTGACTTGAGCGTCGGAGGCTCTACGCCGGAAACACTTCCGGCGTTGAGTTCTTGCAGGTGTTGTTGCGGTCTAACAACGGTTCGAAGGCGATTCAAGCAGATTTGAGCTCAAAACTACAGGTTCACTTCAGATCCAGAAGTAGACCCATCAATCACGAATGGGAACTGTTTGAAGATAATGATATGTGGCGATGGTGATTCCGACGATAGAAAAACCATGAATGTTATATACATATAAATGATTAATAAAATTTTGAACCGTTTTCTTAATTCATATTTTTTTATGAATGAAATTATGGTTATGTATTTTTGTTTTTTTTCTTTATATTATTATCTTTTCTGCGTATTTTTCTCCATGCAAATGCACCGATTTGATCACTAGTGATGATGTATTATTCAATCCACTAGTAAGGATGGACTGGCTCCGTTGTTGGCTAGATGTTTTATTTTCTAGGGCAGTTATGTAGTGTTCTGCTGGGTTTATTTTCTTTTGTCTTTCTTTTGGTATTTTTTTGTTTTTAATTTTTCTCTTTTCTTTTGTTAGTTTGCATAGTTTGTCCTCTTTTGTTTTTTCTGCGTAGGGTGTGTTTCCCCCTTTTTCTACTTNAAAAAAGGTATACAAATGTTTCACAAATAATTTATTAATATAAGGGTAAATCAGTAATTTGATTTTCTATCCTAACAATTATCACCTCCCACAAACACAACATTCAACTTTGTCCAAACTTATTTTCTTATAGAACTACAAGAAATAAGAAAATTATAAGAAAATTATATTAGTCCTTTCCTTCTGTCAATTCCCTCAAATTCCTTCGCTCTTGACCTAGCCGCTCTTCTTCATCGGTATGCCTCCTCTCCAGCAGCCCTAGCCCTCTAATTTCGGCGATCTTCCGGCTCGATCTAGGCTCGGTGGGGCGGCAGCGGTGGTCCTGTTCCTTCTCCGTCTCCGTAGTGGTCTCTGCTCGTGTATGAGCGCCAAAGCGGGTGAGGAAAGGCAGACTTTGTCGGCGGCCGTGTTCCGGCGGTGGCTGCGGGCAACCTTTCGGTTTGTCTGCGGCGATGGCCTTTCCTTAGTCTTCCCCTATTCTGGTCGTCCCTGGTGTTGAGACGATGCGGTCCTCCGGCGGCGGCGGCGTGGTTGCGCGGTGGCTCCGGTGTATGCGTGGGGGAGGCTGTGGTGTGGTCGGCCTGGGTGAGTATTCGAAGATCTGGGAGCTTCCGACTGTGATGTCCGGGTTGCTTCCTCGATTTTCGGAGTCGGATTTTCGCTTGGTTTGGTAGGCGATGGGTCTTCCCGGCTGGTGGGGAGGGCTTTAATTTTAGTTAGTTTTGTGTGTTTTGTTAGTTTCGTATTTTTTTTGTTTTTGTAGTGTAATGGTTTTTAGGTTTTGTATGTTCTATCTCCCATTGGGGAGTTTGTTTCTCCCGCAGGGGAGTCTTTTTCTCCCGTAGGGGAGTTCCTTCTCCTTTTGTGGAGTTTGTTGGTGTGATGTTTTAGGCGATCCTCTGGATCTATCCTCTCACTAGATTCGGCTTGTGGGCTGTTCTTTCGGCTTTTGAGCCGTGTCTGGATGTACGTTTTTGGTTATCAATAAAATTTCTATCGTTTGGAAAAAAAAAAAAAAAATTGTCCAAACTTCAACATTATCCCAATTGTGGATACCAAACACATTATTAAAAAAATCCTAATAGTGTAATCACCCGCTTTAGGAGTAATATAGTCTAATCTCATCTTCTTTATCAAACATGGCCTAAAGGCATACACCCATAACCATTACCCATACTCCGCAATCCCAATCTCGCAGGCAGTGAACGAGAGTTTCAATTTTCCAGCAAATCTAAGTCCTAAGCAATAACCTTACCTCCTAATATCGTCTCCGAGAATTTCAATTTTCCAGCAGATCTAAGTCCTAAACAAAAACCCTACCTCCTAACATCGTCTCCGCCGTCCGCCGCAGGACGCAGATCGCTCGGCGCCTCTGAAGTCTGAATTCTCAAATTGCCTCGTTCGGTCGCTCTTGCTCTTGCTCGTGAT